TCTCGTTGAATACTATTGCGAATTCAAACACATGATTTTGATTGGAAATCCTCACCGACAGTGCCGTAAGAGTCGATGGACTGGAGATATACCACAATGCGGTTTAGTATTTATTTATAATCATAGTTATACTTTTAAAACATAAATAATTTAACAATTATAATCCAACTAATTTCAAATATTTAAACATAGTGTGTCTTATAATATATAATGAGCAAAATCTATAAATCTATATACAGTGCATGAAATCCCGCGGCGTTTTGTGGATCGGATAGAATTAGTTAACGTTAAGAACCATACCGTCAGTAATGTGTATCGTTCACTCATTTACGATTACAATTATTTGAATAATTATGCCAAATATCAATCGATGACATTTTACGGCGACCCGACTAACCCGGGAGAGTGTGTCCACTCCAAAGTCAAGGCCGATGTAACCCGAATGCAGTGGCGGGTAGTCTTCAAGTGGACCATCGGTCAGGTTTATCACGTGTCAGTCGTGGTCGACACCACATCAATGAAACAAACTATCGATACAAGAAAAACGAGTTCAGTTATCAGTGAGATATACGTTAGTGATTACCGGGAGTGCAAAGCAGCGAAAACATCGCCAGAAACGGTCGATACTAACGAAAAAGTGCTGAAATACACATTCATTTGCGATCTCAAAGATCAAAGCAATGGCCAGAAGTTGGAGGACTTCCAGTCGATTCGGTCCGAAGACCTTAAGAATATTACCATCACTTTTGCGGTCAATGAAATCACAGTTTGTGAGCTACACGTGGCCGAGACTTTACCCATTCGCTACTATAGTCGCGGCTCCTGTGGCTCCCCAGATATACCCCTATACTCGTCGTACGTTCCCGTTTGGGACGAGACTACTAATGGTGTCATTCCTATCGGCTATACATTCACTTGCGATAAAGGCTTTCAATTGGATGGCAATCAAGTAAACAAAATTTAGTGATAATCAATGTTTGAATATACATTAAATATATTTTTAAACTCAAAAGGTAGTCACGTGTGGTATAAACAATCAATGGTTGGACAAATTCCCGACATGTCTGCCCATAAATACCTGTCCAACAATGGACGGCACAAAACTAGATGAATTGTCGCTTAAAGTTGAATACCGCAATCTATATAGTGTTGACGGAAATATTACAGCTATTAATGGCACTCAAGCCATATATTCATGTAATCCTCACACCAAGGATGACGATAACGTTAATAAGACATTACTCGGAGATTCCGTACAATTCTGTCAAATTATGGGCAATTGGAGTGGAGAAGAGCCCGTCTGCTTAGGTCTATACAATACAAACACTACATTATATTGTTATACATATTAAATACAAATCATGTTTGATATCTTTAGATGAGAATGACTTCACATTATATTTGTCGGAATTTAATGAAGACATACTAACAATGGAGTCAAAACACCCCGAATAGTATGTATATATACTGTATATAAACATTATTTAAGGTCTATTAAAAATGATATGTTATTACTCTCGTAATGCTAGCGCTCACCACCAGCACAGACCCAATCAGTGCGGAATACCAGCCATTCCTAAATACTCCCGAATTTATACTCACGACCCAAACCTAATTGGCGTATATTTGGCCGCAATTAAAGGCAAACTCGATCTAATGCCCAGTTATCCAAACGGATCAGTCATGACATACGGCTGCGAATCTAAGTTTGATTACATGGCCAGTGATTTTGATGCTCGAACCTGTGTAAACGGCTCTTGGGTCGGACCGGTGGGCAAATGTTTTACACCTGTTGGTGGTACAGATGTGACCAGGGTCATTGCCATTCAGGAGAATACAGGCCTCGCTAACGTGTCTTATCATAATATTAGACAAGACATGAGTGACAGATATTGGAGTTATATGGAAACCGGTTAAACATATATAATTAGTTTGTAATTATTTGTTTTAAAACTAATTTAACCCATTTTGTAGAGGACACAAATTGTACCCAGCTGGAAATAAAGTCGGGCACAGTATACACGTGGACAATATATTTGTCAACACCAGTCCGGATGTCATATTTTGCCGTCCGATTTGCTAATACGAAGATATTTCACGACTTGGACGACGATATGCTTCGTGTGCACAGAGCGTCACAATTGGACACACCGTCTCCCATAAGCGCTGAGTTGTTTGGTTACAACTATTGGAGTAATAAACTCGGGTGTGAAGTGACCAAAGTTATTGAAACGGGACTCACCAGTGGGCTGACCCAGGTTAGCTTCCGCTGCGATGAACCAGACTCTGAAGCCAGGTAAATATATTCTGTATCGCAAATCAAATAATACATTATTTATATAAATTTTTATCAATTATTTAAATAAAAATGAGAGAGAGAGAGAGAGAGAGAGAGAGAGAGAGAGAGACTAATGATTATAAAAATATGCACTTTATTTGTTTATATATTTAATTCTCAAAGTAAGAAGAAAATGAATCCATACGTGTATTATGGATATCAGATGACGACGAGTGCCATCAATATTAAGATCAATTCAGACGCCTTTCACGAGAGTTTTGACTCAACGAACACAACTCATGTTAATTTGTGTGCTTTAATGCTCTTCAGAGCATCAGATGATTGCGGTCTTCCAGAAGATGTGCCCAATTCTGAGATCATATCATCCCATGAAGAGGGATATGTGAGGTATAAATGCAACCCTGGATATAAACTGGTCGGCAATGAATATGTCCGGTGCAGCAAATTAGGCAATTGGATGGTAAGTACACATCTTTATTATTATAACAAATCATTAAATCAACCAACATTTTTGTAGTATAATAAATATTGTAAGTATTTTGGTAGCTATAAAGCAACTTACATTTTACATTTAATTATATGCCCTTCAATAGCATACAAACAATTCAATTTCATTAACTTTTATAAGTTGATAACTCTTTTAAAAACTTACAAAATATGTAATAGAATTATCAAATATTGTGATTGTCTTTTAGTTAAAAATTAATAATTAGTATCGAATAATAATAAATTAAATGCCATTTTATCTGATATTTAATCCATTAATTGAATAAAGATTTAATGTATAAGATCATTGGATTGCAGATAAAAACTTGATTAAATACAATAACGATATTATTTAAGTAAAATGAACACAAGGTTTTAAAGGTATATTAAATATGTTAGTAGTTTCAGAAAGTGATCTCAACGGAGATATTTGAAAGCAAATAATATTCAAAAGCATATAATAATCATTTGATTTAAAGTGAGATTAGATTTCGATTGGAAGAGAAACTCAAATTCAATTTAATGTTAAAACCATTGATTGAATTTAGGGATAGAATGAATTAATTAGACTAAACTCAAATAATTTAAGGTTATCTAAATTGATCAGGATACTATTTCCCCAAAATTAATTAATAATTTTATAAGTTTAAAAGTCAAACATATAATAAAATGTACATAATATTTTTATAATTTAATTATTACATAAATTAATTAATGAACATACAAATAAATAACTAAATTGTTAACTGAATTGAATAAATGTAATAACAATGACTATTTTAATTATTATTGAATAAATGATCAGGATGAGTTTCCTCGATGCGAATTATACAAATTATGCGAAATGAACAAAACCAATTCACCACACGATGTGTTACAACGAAAGTATTTCAATACAATGGTTATCAATGGCGAAGAAGTGGCAGTTTTGGCGACAATTGTTGAGTTTAAATGCCGTAATGAGAACCTCGAGACCGGAAAGCATGTGATAATAGGTCCGCGAACTATAGTCTGCACCAAATCGGGGCACTGGAGCACTGATGAGCCCATTTGTGCCGGTATTTTATTATATAGCTATCAAAGTTTAACGCATTTAAAATGACCTTAATTATTTATCGAAATTGTAATTTAATTAGTTATCAAAATATGAGCATTGTATACAAACTAGTTATAAAACATACAATAATCATGGTCATTTACTACATTTCTATGTAAGATATGTTTATTCTGTATATATTCTGTGATGACAGATGACGCCTATTTCGGACGTTTTGTTACCTCAAACCAAACCGAGAGCTCAGTTGGAAAAGTTGTAGCTCTGGTTATATTTGCGGTTATTCTGGTGGCTATCGTTGGGGTATTGGTATTTGCATACCATCGCAAATATGGGTTCTCCAACCCGTGTCTCACTTGTATGACAGGTCGTGAGACAGCCCGCCGTTCCTCAACATTCATAAGCTATGGTCAGTCAAATCTGAGGGATTCTGTCATTAGTTATAATGAGGGCTCCGTATCGTCTAGTAATTCATTTAATAATAATGAAAGGATTAACGCAAATCTTATTAAAATTTAAATTACATTTTTGTTTATGTATTTCAATAAATATCCTATTAATTTATCATTATAGCTGAAATAATTCATTCATTTTAAGCTACTTTACTCTGTTTCACGGTCTACGAATAAAACTAATTGCCTAGATAATTGTTTACTTTGTTTAAGCACAGTCAACATTTTACTGATCAGTGATTATTGAATATTATCTATTAATTATTGAATATTACCTCAAATTTTCAGAGTATTTTTATTAGAGGTTTATTATTAATTCTTATTGTTTTTAAATGATTTATCGTTATATTGAAGTTTTTATTTTTGTGTAAACATATAATTATTTTGTAGTTTATTTTATATCATTTGTAGATTTATTGTAAGATTTTATGGTTTATTGTTTGGTGAGAGAAAGAAAAAGAAAGAAAGAAAGAAAGAGAGAGAGAGAAAGAGAGAGAGAGAGAGAGCTGACAAAACAAAAAATGATGCATTATCTGAATGACAAGCTACTGTCTCGTACACTGTCTCTCTTTTTTTAGCTATCACTATCAGCCTCCCCCTCGCCTGTGCAGTACATGAGAGAGAGAGAGAGAGAGAGAGAGAGAGAGAGAGGACACAAGAAGAGGTGGAATATGTAATATATAACTACCAGGAAGTCTATGTTTAACAGAAAAAATATGAAAAATAATATAAAATAAAATATAATATACAAAAAACATAAGCAAATTGTTAGGAAATAATAAGATATTCAGCTCAAGGCTTGTATAACAACTATTTAACTAAAAATTATTAACATAATGTTGAACATAAAATAGCATTTAAATTAGTGAAGAAAATATTTTTTCAATCCATTGTACTCTTCTATTAAAAACTGAGATTTTATTGATATATTTGATTGATTGTATGGTTTAGTTATATTAAAAGTTTTGAATTTAAGAGACTAATATACTAACCCCAGTAGTAAAACTGTAATCCATATTATACTTTAGTTATACCGCGCATACCATACTGTGCCCATTGATCTAAACCTATAAATTGTAGCAACAATACCAATACACAATTAAATACCGTATATATGAAAATACTTTCCCAATGTATTGATCGAAAGTTTAATCCAAATGAAAAAACCATTTTTTATGATAGGTATTAGTTATTGATCGGTATTTCCCCTTAAACTAGCTTTTTGTGTATAGATTCTTGCGCTGCAGATGTAATGAATGTCTCGTTTTGGGAATAAGGTTGTAGTAGTGGTGAAACTGAGGGACTGGGATCTCAGGGCTATACAAACAAAAATGAATTCAATTGAAAGGTGCATATTGTACTGCACAGGCGAGGGGGAGGCTGATAGTGATAGCTAAAAAAAGAGAGACAGTGTACGAGACAGTAGCTTGTCATTCAGATAATGCATCATTTTTTGTTTTGTCAGCTCTCTCTCTCTCTCTCTCTCTCTCTCTCTCTCTCTCTCTCGGTATAATCACTATTGAATGTATGGCTTTTGTATTACTTTGTGTTATAGCAGAACGCTATCAGAATCCAAGGCTATGCCATACTCGATATTTAATAAATATATGAGTACTTATATATACAATGTATTTAATGTTTAATATAAATAGAATCTACAATCAAATCAAATTTCAATATACAATATTCAGTATGAAATTGACAAGAAAATTCATTTTCAATAATATTGGACATTTGCATTCAACACTAGTAATGATACTGAAAGTTTTTATATACTGTATTACAAATGAGATTCTATAAATTGTTTAAATTTTATTATATTCTTTATCCAGTATTCAAAATACTGTACACTATTGACAATCTATCAATACAAATTAATAGCTTAAATGTTTAAATATAAAGTTTAGAATCAATATAATTATAATAGTATATAATTTATTTATAATAGTAAAACTTTTAGAATCAAAACCATTGAGAACGAGGCTATCAGTTATAGTGAACTAAATAATTTCTTCATTCGCCAGTATTTCAAAAATCCTTTAAAATAATTTGAATCTCTAAATAAAATACACATAAGTCTTAAGTAAACAAGGTTCACAAAGCGATGCTATACGTTAACCACAATTCGAGAAGGCATCAAAAATTTTAAATTTTTAACGCTATTGTGAGGATGCTTTCAATATTGCTATTTTTAGCATTTTAAATGTTTTTAAAAATATTTAGTTATATTTCAATTGTCAAATTTGTTTAGTCAAATCCCATAGAATTAACATTGTGATAGACTTTGCATCACTCATGTTACTCTTATGTCATAGACTTAAGGTGTAATCCCATAGAAACCCATGTTAAAGCGTCCCATGGGTGCACCTATGTGAGTCTCCCCATGTTAAACTATAGCCATAGGATTAGCATCTAGAGGAAGAGGGGGCCGACCGATTCTATAAGCCACATTTTCATAAATGAATTGTAGTTAAAAATGTCTTTTCATTTTTTATATTAAAAACAAAATACAATAATTTTATAAATTTCTATTCAAAGTCAGTCTCAATATGAATACTGTATTTTTTTTTACATGAGTAACGAATAAATAATCTTTTTTATTTAAAAAGTAAAATAAAATTCAATCTTATCTTTGGATTAATGGGGAAAAATGTCATTTTGTTGATACATAAAAATTTCTTATATTTTTAAGTTAAAATATTGGAAAAGTCATCATGTTTTATATTGTTTTTATTGTTAAAAATATTTCAATAATTTTTCAACATTTACATAATAAATAGTTTTATGATTATAATAAGTCAATGAATTTCCTATTAAATGTATAATCAAATCATTTTTGCAAAAAACCATGGAAACAAGAATTTAATTAGTCAAGATTGAAAATGTCATTACAAATTCTACTTGATGATTGAATAATTATTACTACAAATCATATATTTATTTCAACACTTTTATTATAAGATTAATATAATCTATATTTAAACATACGACAGAATTTTATATTATAAATCTTTAATTAAAATTATAGAATAATAAAATGCAATTGTCATTGAAATGGTAAATACAGTACATTATATATAAAACACATTTACCATAAGTACTGCGTTTTTAAATACACTTAAGTAAAGTAATGTACAGTACAGTAGACTCTACGGTAGAGTATACACGAATACACTGTATGTGCAAAATTACCTTGAATTTCATCGCTTTGAATCACATCTGATATGAAGAGTCTGTGTGTTTAAGAAGGCTATTGATTGTCGAAACACTACAGACAGTAATGAACACACAATATATACAATACATTACAGTATATGTGATGAATATTTCTACCGTAAATTCCCATAAATTAAACAAAATCAAAATTTTCCTCAAAAACTAATCTATTTATAACTTAACAAAAATAAAATTTATATTTGATAGAAAGTATGTTTGTAGGCATTATTCTGTGAGACTAGTTTGCACAGAATATATTTATATGAATTCAAATTTAATTTTTAATTAAATTTCCTTTATATGTATAATAATGTTACATATTCTGCACTCATTTTAAAAATTTTGAGAAAATCAATCGTGAAGCACATGTGAAATATATTTGTCAAATGGGATTAACTAAGATTACGAGGGGATTTATTTGAAAAATCAATTTAAATTGAGATTTTAAATGTGAAATATACTTTGAATTTACAATGAATTGGGAAATGATGTCTCTTATAGTGAATCCAAGCGTATTGTCCCTCATATCTAAATATTGCGCTCAAAAGGTCTCATAAAAATTGTTTCGATATTAATATACAGAATATAACTGTATACACTGTATACTACTGACGGAACATATACGTTTATATATACTATATATACTGTATGTATATATAAACGTATTGGTACACTATATATAATATGTAATTTTGTGTCAAGGTTAGTCAGACACACACTCGCATAAACTATATTCCGTCAGAGATAGCGTTTGAGGCATTTTCCTCGTACTGTCAGTGCATTACAACAGCCCAACTGAAAAGCGCCAGTAGTTTCTAACCAGTGTTATAACTACGGAGTGACGCGCGGATACAGAGACACAAATACCACAATCATTTGCTTTAGTCAATACACACAACTCTATGTGTGTTTGAGTGAAAGAATCACCGAAAAAATTAAACAAAAACCAAAAAACGGAATACACTATCACTGAATGCGAACAAAACATTTTGAGTTTGTTTTCTAATTATTTATCGCAAGTAATCGTAAATAAATGCGTGAATTCATTGGATGGCAACGGTATGTCAAGTTTTCTTATTATTCTTTATATTCTTCCACCACTTCTATGTTTGAAAGGACTTGAAATACACCAACGATTAGTGAGTTTCGCGGAGACTATCGGTGAATTACATGAGAGAGAGAGAGAGAGAGAGAGAGAGAGAGAGAG